TCAAGTGATGTCACTTGAGTAAGCATCGGCTAGGACTGAAGACTACAAAAGACTGAAGTTTGAAAATGAAAGAAATCTAGGGATGTGTCTCTCCAAAAAGTGTGCCAGCACCTGTAAAGCTCGATACATTTTTTTAATTTCTAGATCAATAAAAAGTGTAAAAATGACAACTTGTGGAGTTACTGTGGTAACTATTTCTTAACTCTCCTTTAGGGGGTCGTTCAAAAATCCTAAATACTGGTGCCAGTGCCAGTACCAGTACCAGTATTGATACCTTGATTTTGTTACCGGTTCCTGGACAATACCAATTTTTTCAACAAAAGAAAATGACATTACACATTATGGTACAATTACTCACTTCAAAGGAGAAAACTATCAGTATCTGACGCATGCTTACTGACACACTGATTGCTGAGGAGATTTACTCCTTAGGGACCTAAATTTGGTATGAAATGACCAGGCATTTTTTAATACTAATACTAATTTGGCCGATGCCATAAAAATATTAAAGTTCGTATAACTTGTACTACATTTCTTTGTGTTAAGTTCCTCTTAATCACAATTTTGGGCCATCAATCAAAGCTAATGATCAAATATCACCGACATGCACCTACTTGTGTACAGATGAGCTGAAACCAAGTTGAAACAAACAACTTTAGACTAGTTTATATGACGAATGTAGTGCTTATCATGCGGCTCTGTCTTTAAAGAATGTGTTCTGACAGCTCCAGTGAACTGACAAAAGCACTTTAGTATCGTGGCACGTTTAAACCTGTTGCTGAATGCTGTTAAGTCAATGGTGCCAGTATTTGGAGAGATCCATTTTCAGAAAGTAGTCCGAGTTGTGACTCCCAGCTGGTGTGCAGCGATGTGCTGCTGTATGAACTGATATTTGCCTGAAGCCTTTCAAAATGAGCTTTACCACACATATTTTCCACAACCTCATGCATGTCGGGCTCTGTCCAGTGGATCTTTCCGCTCACATGCTTACCAGGGAGAATTTGATGGACGGCATGATGGCCAAGTTCGACTTAAACAAACAAACAGAAGATAATAGACTTAGGTCATGATTTTGCAAAGCAATTCAACAAACACCTCAACTCTGACTGTGGTTTTCTGTAGGTTTTCTGTAGGTTTAGACAAAGATGGAGCAGGCTGTTGTGTAAACATCTATTCAGCGTCTAAATATTTGCTTACAGATAAAACCTGCGTGTTATTTCTGATTGGTTATTAAATGCTGCCTCATGACTTTCTGAACAATATGACGTCTTCCTGCAGTGTGCTGCAGCGCTGACAACTTTGAAGCAGCACCTCTCTGACAGAGATGTCCTGACTTGTACTCACATCATCACAGTGAGAGCTCTCCGGTCTCGGTCTTCGCTGCCTGTCTGTCTGCATCCCTGTCTGCTAGTCTGCCTGTCTTGTGCAGGGCTTTTGGCCTGTGTTAGTTAGGAGAGCACAGGTTGGCGCTGGGCTGGAGAGGTTGGTCTTAAGGCTTTGTCCACACATCACCACAGCTGATTGCTCCTCTGGATGGTTGGGATTCTCAGCTAAGACAGGGATTACTGACCCATGTCGGCTTCCCACCTTTACAGCAGCCGCTTCGATGTTCTCCCAGTCTGAACTCAGACGCCCCAGAGAATTGAAAAGATGTGTGTGTATGTGTGTGCTTTAGTTTGCTCGTGTCTAAAACCTTGAAAAGATAACTTTAATAATATCTTTCAACTAATAAAGAAAACTGTTTTATCTACAAGAAAAAGTGTGTGCGTGACACACACAAACACTGGCATGAACTTGATCAAAAATAAAGTGTTATCAGTCGTTTAAGTATGCTGATGAATACACATCCGTAATTTAATTTATGTGACAAAAACTTCTGATTAATCCCCTTAGAATCAGGCTGCTGATGATCTGAGGATGATTTGACTCTCAC